TGATGACAATTTTACTCCTTAGAAATGTGTTATTATTTTCCTAAGTCACTGAGGGCTGTGTACTGGTAATCATCTTAAAGTAGAGTAAAGTCAGCCCACCCCAAAGAAATGCTTCACGCGGACAAAGATTTCTGCTATCATCACCAGGCTCAAAGCTCTCAGTCAATCCTCTTCAGATGCAGCTGACTGGTACAACAGTTATGTGCAGACCAGTAGGAAACAGAAATGAGAAAACAGCAAGTTCTCTGCCAGGGGAAAAAACAAGGGTGGGGGAGAGGAAATCTTTGGCTCCAACCTGGTAGCAAGTTTCCCATCAAATGTAAGCGGGGTCGAACGTTCCCTGGGCTGGACACCACATCTCGCCCCAACATCACCAGATTTCCCCTCAGCTGCTGTTGATCTTTTCTTTATGTCACCTTCTCTCCCCTCATACCACACACCCACCAACCTGGTGTGTATTTCCCCTGAAGGTTCTAGACCAGGATGTGGGGTTGTCCCTGGGGTTTAACTCCCCACATCAGGAGCTACACGCCGGAGCTGATGGACCCCATGGACATCGCATACCAGCCCCATGGGAAAAAGGGGATCTTTAGTCTCTACTCCAGCTTTTCCCATTCAAAGAAGCAATGGATGTCTTAGTTCATCTTTCAGCAGCTCACAAAGATGAGGGAAACCGAGGTGTGATTGGCTATCCCAGGAAATGATGGCTTTTCTTTTCCAATACCCATTTAAAACAATAACAGAGCTTCAGAATGACTGGACAACCCAGGGGTTACACACAATGCAAAAGTCATGGTGTGCTTGGTGGACAATGACCTGGATGGGGTGGACTGCTTCCTGTCAGTAACTAAGTGTATGTCCAGTGAATCTGAACTCGTCCTGACCAAGAGGAGGGACCTCTGTGTTGGGATAGGTGAGTGGGAGGGGCTGTGAGTTGGATGAGGTTACAAGGAATTTGGGAAGATTTTTTAGAAAAACCGTTGACTGAAAAGGAAGCATGGAGTAGCTCTCAAGAATGTGATCTCTGGCTTCATTTGACCTGGGCTGGATTCCTGCTCTCAGCTCTATGCTTCCTATTGATGTGATCTTGGGAAAGTTCTCATTTAATCTGTGTGCCTCAGTATTGTCATCAGTAAAATGGGGATGGCAAAGTCCCAACCTCCTAGGGTAATTGTGAAGATTACATAGTGCCTATGAAGCACTTAGCAAACTCCACATGGTAAGTGCTCACAAAGTTAGACTTCTCTGGTTTTTTTAAAGAAAATAAGTAAAAGGACCCATGACTGCAGCAGACAGGCTAATTATCCTGTTAGAAAGTATTTAAGGTAAGGCTGAAGGAGAAGAGAAGATTTCGGGGCTAAAAGGAGAACTTGAGATGCAGCTACCATGCTGGGACACCGGAGGGGTGCAGAGTTCGCAGGCGCGTCGGCTAGAGGACTCTTCTGTGGGGTCCTGGAGACTGCACAAGCTGGCAGATCCGCGAGCTCTGACACAGCATTGTTACCTGTGGTAGAAGGAAGCCCTGAACAGCCCAGCCAAAACAAAACTCTGCTCTTTCTCCAGAAACTAGGAACAAGCAGAAGCTGGAGGCACAGACAGGAGGCAGAGGCACCGTCCAAGCCAGCCTGAGGAAGTGCTTGCTGACCACGAGGAGAAGACGAAGAGAGCAGCCTGGGAAAAGGCTGCTTTATGCTCTGAGTTTCCGCCCCGCCAACTGCAAAACAAAATCTGAAAAGTCACCTAGCTTCAACTTGAATTTTACATCTGAAGAAACCAAGACTCTTAAAAGGGGAGTAGTTGTGTGATGTGGCTTGATGTGCCCGGGGTGTTGGGATAAATGTTGGGTGTGGCCATTGCAATGGACAGAGGGAACGAAGTACTACCAGAAAAGATAAAGCGAGGACAGGTTGTGCACCCAGGGACAAGGGTTTAGATGAAAAGTCCACCCCCGCCATCCCTTTATTCTGATCCCTGGCAGTGGCAACAAAAAATAACTGGGATTAGTGGCAATGGGAAAATATAGGGAAAGTGAAACCTTCGATGTGGGGGCTATTTGGGAGAACTCAGAGCAAGGACATCTCACGGGTATCTGATAACCCCAAATACACCTCCTGTTTACAGCAGAAGAGGAACACTCAAATGCCTTCAGGGTGAGGTAAATATGTGAACCAGAAAAAAGCAGAACAACTAGGTGTGGTGCAGACTGGCCAACGGGAAGGCTCCACGTAAAGGAATTCACAGTCAGTATTTAAAAAACATTGGCAGTGCCGAAGGTAACACAGAGGTTGGCCCCATTTCCGTGTCACCAGTTTGCAGACACTGTTCTACATGGTGTTAAAACATAAAACATTTTCAATAGTTTAAAGGCTAAATGAAACTTATAGTCTAAAAAGATCTATGAAAAGCCAGTTTCATTTTAAAGATGATCTCAAGTGAATGAAAAGTGAAAAGTCCTGATATTTTCCTATCTACATATTGATAAAGAGGATATTTTAATTCTTATATGAGATAGTGTCTCTCTCTCTCTCCCTTGGAAGAGGAGGAGATGTCCTTTACCTCCAGCAACAAGCATGGTGTTTGAAACATTGTATGAATGGTAATTAATAAATGTTTGTTGATTGAATAAAGGGGATTATGAGTGGGGCAAAGCACTAACTGGAGACAACCTCCCTCGAGGTTATAAAACCGAGAGCCTGGCTCTCCAGCTCTAAGCCTCCTCTTCCCCTTCAGGATTTACTTTTAACTCCAAACATCTTTGCAGGAGGCCAAAGGCTTCGGTGCTGTGACCTTCCTCACATCTTTGTTCCAGCAGAGGACAGAGAATACAGGCAGCGTCCCAAGGACAGTCATTACAGAACTCCCTCCACAGGCGGCCTCCAAGCGGACTTAGTCCTTTGGGAAGGGGGCAAAGGCACTTTAGTGCTCACGCTGATCACTCTCCTAGCTCCCTGACTTCACGGTTCTTGAGCACAAAGTAGGGACACCTACCTCACAGAGCTGTGAGGAGTCGGTAATATCACGTCTGTAAACGGCCTGGCACACAGTAAGCATTCATCGGACTGTGGATGTTATTATCTACTATGGAAATAGTTGGAGAATGAATTTTTTTACATGGACCTAATTGGGGTGAGGGGGCATAGGACAACACACTGAGAGGCTGAGGAAAAACAAAACTATTTCATCAGCTACCCATAAATCATTTTGGAAAAGGCGGAGGTGGATAAGTGTTTAAATTACTAAAATTACCTACATTTAAATACAAATCCTCATCTGTCCCTGTATACCCTTAGATATGCAGAGTTCCTCTGGAAGAATAGTTAACAATAGTTAATAATAATAGGTAACAGTGGTTACCTCCAGGGAGGACTTGAACTGGGAACAGCAGCTGGAGACTTTTTATAATTTTGCTGTGTCTATATTATCTATTAGAAATTCACAATTCATTTTTAAGTTAAACGCTGCTAGCGTAACTAAAATCTCTCCTAAGTTTGCTGTATTTGGACAAACTGAAATTGAGAAAGTCTGCTTTCAGCTTTTACTGTCAGAGCCCAGATAGCGCCCCCTACTGCCTGGTACCCACCACTGCAGCCGCTCCCTGCAGCCACAGCGGGGCTCGCTCTGGACCTGTTCAGTGCGCACCAGGTTAACACTGTAAGTAGTGAACGTATTAACTAACTGAACTGTTGCCTACTCAGATACCCCAATGCTTTAATGGTCGCAAATCTAGGTACTGTGAAGGGTGACATTACCTCACACCTCATTCTTGCTGGGCAGGTGAAATAACAGATTATTTGAATTACAATATATGCATCAATCCTCCTTCCATTTTTTTCCATTTTAAACTTGTCAGTTATCAGAAGCAAAAGGACTTTGCTACTTTCCCAGTTGTATGTCAAGCGCACATCATTTCAGCAACTAAATTTGTATTAATTCATCATTTGCTGCAGTAATTTCCTTCTTTGCACATTTGAAATGGAGGCTATTGTTCCACATACAAAATTTCCTCCTGGGCTTTTATTTGGGTAAAAGGTTCTGAACTCTGATTCAGACATTTTAGTTGTTCTCTAGGGTATTTACCGTTTTTAAAGTAATGTTTTTATTATTTTAAAATCAATGTGTTCTTATTATAACGATATTGCAGAAAATACAGTAAAACATAATGAATAAAATAAAAGCAAGCCCTAACTCCACCATCAACAGATAACTACTGTTAACATTGCTAACGATTTCCTTCCAGCTCTTCTGATGCCTTTACGTTTTTATACATAGTTTTCATGCTGAATTTCAAAGTCTTTAAAGTACAGCATTTCCACTGTCATATATAAATGTTAAAATTTTGTCCTTGTTAAATATTGCAAAGATATTCGTATTAGAAACTGCTGTATTATTAGTAAGTGCCAGGGATGTTTGGATATAAGGGGCGAAGGTCACTTTGAACATACCCACTAACTCAGGGTTGGTATCGGACCCTCTGGAAATGCCGTATTTGTGTTCCCTTACACAACCTCTGGATGCATATTCCACAGGAGATCGCACTTTAGGCTGAAGTTCTTCCCGGGCATCGCCTCCTCGCTCAATAATCTTGTGTTCCCGGCCTTTGACAAATACTTGGGCATTGAACGGAATTCTTAGGGGCCTGGTCTGGCGATTTAAGTAGGTAATGGTGCATGATCCCAGGCAAGGGAGAGGTAAACTAAGGTCGGGGACCCGCGAGGGGCAAAGACGGACCGTGCGCAGGTAGGTTTGAAACCTGAGCGAGTGGCAACCTCTCCCCCCACCCCCACCCCCACCCCCACCCCACTTCGCGGTGTTTTCACTCACTTGGGAAAACAATCTGGATCACCTCCTCCGCAGGGCAGGTTCCCAACAAGCGGCAGGCCTCAATGAAAGGCCGGTGGGCGTGTTCGCCGCCCGGGGCCCGCGTTGGGCCGCGCCGAGGCCGGGAAACCCACCCCGCGCGGAGCCGCGCGTATAAAGCGCCCGGCGGCGCGGGCCAGCTCCGGGCCCCGCAGGCGCAGACGCTCGCCTCGTCGGTCCGCATCCGCGCCCGGTACCCGTCCGGACACCACGAGGATGGCGCCCGTTGGGAGCCAAAAGGCCAAGAAGGTGAGCCTTCGGGGGACCCGAGGGCGCTCTCCATCCCGGCGGGGCTCTGCGTCTCGACCCACCGGCCCCGCACCCAGCCCCGGGGAGTGCAGGGGGCCCGCGGGGCCCGGCTGTGACCAGAAGGTGCTCCCAGAACTTCTCCTGCAGGACCCCAGGGCGCCTCTGAGCCCCCGACTCCTGGCTCCTGCCCAGAGAGCGCCCTTGATCGCTGTGACCCCCGACTCGAGGGCGCCCCCAGGGCTCCGAGACGCCCAACGTCTTCTGAGTCCCGCACCCCAACCCCAGAGCGCTCCCCCCGAAGTGCGGCTCCTAGACCCACTGGCGCGCCCCCGCCTCCCCCGCCCCACGGCGGTGAGACTGGGGGTCGCCCCGCGTCTGTGTCCGCGCCGCCGCCCCTCTGCGCCCTCGCCCGCCGGACAGGGGGCGCCCGCGCGCGCTCCGGCCGTTCCCCGCCCGCGCCTCGACCCGCCCCGCCGCGGCCCCGAGGCCAGGCGTTGGTGGGGCGATGGTAAGTTTTCACCACGCAGTTTGGTTTCAGCGATCACAACAAAATGCACCACGCGGGCCTCGGGAAAAAAATAAGATATTGAGCAAGGGCTGCTGATAAGATTTAAAAAACAAAAACGCAGCAGCTTCAGCACCTGATTAACAAGCAGCACATTACTTCCCTTGTTGGGAAGAGTGTTCCGGTCCAGACTGTTGGCCTTCGTGTGTAGTCTGGGGGGTGGACTAACCGCGGGACTGTGGTTGGGCGGTGGGATGGGTTCCAGGACCTCCAGCAGATACCCAGATCCGCGGATGCTCAAGTCCCTCAGTCAGCCCTCCGCATCCCGGGTTCCGCAGCCGCGAATTCAACCAACCGCGGGTGGCGTAGTGTTGCACGATCCTCGATCCTCGGTTGGGTGAATTTGCGGATGAGGAAGCCCGGATACGGAGGACCAACGGTACACAGTACTTGACCCTTGGGTGTGAAAGCGCCCGGCCCCAGGCCTGGCTGACAGCAGCCAGGAATGGTAGGGAGGCAGGTGGGGCCAGCCCCACCGAACCTCCTGGGCTGTAAGGACCCTGAGGGCAGGTCCACCTCCCATCTTCAGTGCCAGCCATCCCCTTTGCAATGGGCTGTGGCCAGTTTCTAAAGGGATGACCCCCAAATCAAAAAGACCTCCACACAAAGAAAAAAGCTAATTCAGTTAAATTTTTTAAATACCATGCAGCATTAATAGATGCCTGTCCATGGTGTGAGGAAGATGTGGAGATGGCAAACGATTATAGGCTGTTACCAGTTCAATTAGGTTGAGAATTTTTGCCAATTCATAAATCTACTAAATGAATAGTTGGCATAGACTGAAAAGGATGATTCCTATAGAAATTTAAACTTTTTTGGTTTGGCCCCATTCGCATAGCCATGGATTCTAACCCACTCCCCAAACTCAAATTCAGAAAATGAAACATTTTAAAGGAGTATCTTTAAAGGATTGTATAAGCAACAGAGGGACATAGATGGAGAAAAAAATGTTTCTTTCATAACCTTGTTTCCATGTGTATGCCAGTGTTAAAACATGGACAATAATATGTCTATGCTTTGGGGTTTAAAATTAAAACGTATGTTACAAAGCTAACACATGTTCATTGTACAGAAGTAGGAAAAGCACTCTGAACAGCTCCTGTTTTGTAATACTTTTTCACAAAACAATTATCTTGAACATTTTTTATAGCACATTCCACTAAAAAAAAAGCAGCTATGTATCTTAAGAACAGAAAAGTCTATAGTCCAGGTAATTTAAAAAATGCTCTAGAATCTAAGAGACGTTTTCCAGATGTAGTTGCTCAACAAATTTATGAACAGCATGGTAAGGGAGTCACCACTAGCCACTCCGCCGCTGAATTTCAGATTGTTAGCTACGCTCTGCATTTAAATGTTTGTGGTACTAGAGTTTGAACACACACACGCGTACATTTAATCAGAGTTGCTAACTGACTAAACAAAATGTCATGAGTTATTTTACCCAAATGAAAGCTAGAAGCAAGTCATATCATTTATTTGACTCTTATTCATGTTTTTGGTATAACTGCACTGGCTAGCAGTATATACATTTCTCTTGTTAATTGCGTCATAGTGATCAAAGTTGTAGTTTTCAGATGTGGCATTTAGAGACATTGAAATCATGACAGATATTTGAATTTCAAAATTACACGTGATCAATTCTATATTTTTGTAGTTGTAATCTCATGGACTTCCATGCTTGAAAATTTTTCTCTCTGGAAGAAATCTTCAGGAACATATAGAAGAATCTCCTTATTTTACTGCTTTAAAATGAAAATGTCCATTGTTTCTTCTCTGAGCACTAGCTGACCAAATGGCATAGGAAGGGCAGTGGAGGGGACGAGGATTAACGCAGGGGAGGCTCTAAGCAGGTGGCAGGGATGTAGGATGCACAGTCCTATGACCACCTCTCATTGATTCATGTAACCCGTGTTATTATATCAGCATTTGTTGTATCAACCGTTACTGGTGATAAATGGAACCCAGTCGGTCTGTTCCAAGTTATTCCTTCACACGATCTTTTCGGGGCTGTCCCACCCTCCAAACCCCCATTTATAATCTGGATTATAAATCCAGATTAAAAAAAAATCCATTATAATGGATTCTTTGAATCCATTTAAGGGGGAAAGGGCCAGGAGACCCTATACTCCCCACCTGGGGGACTTGGTGTAAATTACTGAGAGATTCTGGGCCTTAATTCTTCTTTTGTAAAATCAGAGTGACCTGAATTGAATGTAGGGTACCTTTTATTTTTTAGTTCTATGATTCTTTTAAATTAAAAAAATTAGTTACACTAGAAAATCACTTTGTAATTCACAAAGCCCTTTAAAAATATCAAATTCAAAATTTATCTATTGAACATTAACACCAGGGTAATTACTGCATAGTACTGTAAATGGAATAGGTGTGGAGATTGGGCTGGAAATGGTTTACAAATACTCTATTCACCTGTCTCTCCCCGGTTCTTGTTGTCTCGCACTTACAGAGCGCAAACATGGCTACCCATAACTCCCTGTAGCATGACGTAGCTGCTGTTGTGGAAACTGAATTTTAACACCAAAGATAGAAGCCTTTAAGTGACTTGGCCACCTTTGTGGTAGTGTCTTCTTCCTTCTGTCTTTACCAAGTGTCTTCTGACTTTTCAGTCTTCAAATGCCTCAGTGGTGTTATGCGCCACTTCAACTTCCTTATCAATTTTAATCATCTCTTTAGATCATTAATAGAAGAAGAAGAAAGACCAGCCTTCCCCCATTTAAGAATGTGTGCTTAACATATTGCTTTTGCAATTAAAAATTAAAGTTTTCTTATTAAGGAGCAATGAGTAATCAAATTTTCTGTCTGTGTTAACTTTATAATAGAGTGTTTTGTTCTAAAAAGTGATATTAGTTCCTAATTATTCCTCCATAAAGTTTTAAAAAATGACATTAATGGTTCTGAATAGCGGCCAAAAAAATAAGGTTTAACTATGAAAAATCATGTAATTGACAATAACAACAATAAAATAATACATTCTCTGGTTAAAAAAAAAAAATATGTGCTTAAGTATTCATTTGAGGCTTTACAATAAACCATTTCATTTAATCCCTCTGCAGATATTTCTTCAGACATAACATCTCCCACCATACTCTTCAAAACTCTTTAATGTATTCTGAAAGACCCCACCCCCAGTACATGTTTACACAAATTTTCATTATTTGAGCATTCTGGTTGTTTGCCTTATAGATAGTCATGAATTTATAAAATATTACATGTACTTTCTGAGACTTCTGAAGAAATCATATTTCTCAAGAATGTGATAGCAAAAGTACTAAAAATAGAAAATTGTCTTAAAAACTCAGGTAACTCCTTTTCTCCCCCCTTCTCTGTAATTTCAGGGCATCCTAGAACGTTTAAACTCCGGAGAGGTTGTGATTGGTGATGGAGGGTTTGTCTTTGCCCTGGAAAAGAGGGGCTATGTGAAGGCGGGCCCCTGGACCCCAGAAGCTGCTGTGGAGCACCCGGAAGCAGGTTGGTGCCTAGCTCAGTTCTGAGTGCTCATAAAAGAACATATGTTGACCCAGGTCTAGGAGCATACCATCAAACAGATACATGCATGCCATGTTTTTCCAAATATTGATTATTGCCTGCTGGGCACTGTATGAGGTATGTAAGTACAGATTTGCATGTTGGATAAGCACAGTGGCCCTCCTTGTTGTTGTCATCTATATTTACCTCTTGGTCCCTGCCCCTCACTCTAGATAAGTCTAGAACCTGGCTCACTGCCTTTCTCTCTGCCCCTTCCTCCCTCACCTCTCTAGCTGACTTCAGCGTCCATACAGGTGATGCATCCGGCACTCTTCCTATTAGTGCCTTGATCTCCTCCCTTCTCCAGTGGAACTTCTCCTCCACCTCTACCTCAGCAACCCTCTCCTGGACCTTGCCATCCTCACAGCTGTCCACCTCAGAAATCTCACTTACACTTACCCCACTCGCTGACCACCACCTCCTACCTTTTCTGCTCACTCTCTCTGATACTCCCACTCCTCAACCCCATGAAGACTCTCCGTCCTTAGTCCCTTCCATTTTAGTGTTTATTTTCGATTCTCCTCCATGTATCCCCCTCCCTCCATACCCACTTTGAGTTCATGGTACAGCATCATCACTGTCCTGCAGATAAGCCCCCTCCATTGTGTATTTGCCAACTAGTTAAATTCATGGTACTGTACTAGCCCCACCCTATCTAAATTCAACTGTCCACCTATCCTGCACCTGCACCCACACACCTTATTCTCACTTTACTTTTTTGACCCCAAATCTTTCACGGCCAGGAGGGAAGGTGAGATGGAACCTGAGGGAGATAATGCTGTCTTGCAAGGCCTCTGCTTCATCCTCAGGCAAGAGGGAAACATTCATCTTTAAAAGGGCAGAATGGGCCACTTCTGCAGGCCCAGAGGGGTCAGGGGGATCGGGGTTCTCAAGGTTCATGAGTGAATCCACCCAACTGTCTTCGTCCCAAATCTCGGTCCCATTTCTTCCTAATCTGGCCCTAACTTGGGCAATAGAAGACTTCCCGGTTGAGAATTCAACCTCTCGGGAGCTCTGCTCCCTATGTAATTAAGTCCTTGGCCAGATCCTCAACTTGTTCTGCCTTCTATGTGCTACCCAGGAGATCCTCAGACTTTCATACTTTGCCTTAATTGGTGATGAATCACTCTTAACCTTTCATTGTCTTTCTCCAGTACATTGGTGGCACCCAACAATAGCCATCTGATTCCAAGCTCCTTATAGTCACTACTTCCCCTGAACCTCTCAAACATCTGAGATGCTGCACCTGCTGGTGCATTCCCTTCCAAGGGCATCGCATCCCAGTTCACCACAGGTGAGAGTTTTAACAGGTGTGTCCATAGCGCATGCTAGGAGCTCTGGCACCAGTGATGGGGTGGGTGCTCATTACCAGCTGGCCAAAAGAAGATCCAGCTCCAAACACAATGCTTTCGAGTTGTTTCCTAGGACTAGTCCTGGCTCCAGCTCCGGCAGGTTGGGCTACTCGGAAAACAAGTTCTGAAGTGGAGATTTCTGTTCAGGAGTTTTAATAGGGAGTGCTTTCAAGAAACCATACTTCGAAGGGAGTGAGGGAAGCAGGATTGGGCAGAGGGAGGAATTAATCTGTGATGCGGTGTAACCGAGGTTTGGCTAGTCCCTCGGCGAGCTCTGGAGTTGGACAGGCCCTTCAGAGTTGCCCCAAACTGCGGCAGGGGGCTGGGTCTCTGTGTTCTCCCCCCACCAACAGACCACGCTCTGCGTGCAAGCCATCAGCCCTCCCCTCCCCCAGGAGACGCTCAGCCCTGAGCCTGAAGCTCCCTGTGGCCTAGGGCACTGCCTAGAGAGGCTCTCAGCTGGAAGCCATCAGCAGCCAACACTTAGAAAGAAGTTGAGTCTTTCAGAGGAAACTTGAGGACGTTCTTGTGAATATTATACAGGTTGAACAGTTGTTTTTACTGTTATTAAAGAAAAGCATATTTCAATGAACTCAGTGATAAAGGATGGAAAACAACAAAGCACATAAATTGAGTACAGCTTTGAGGTTAAGCATACTGACTCTGGGTCCAGACTAACTGGATCAAATCCTGACACAGCCTAGGCTGTGTGGCCTTGGGGAAATTGCTTAGCTTCTCTGGGACTCAGTTTCCTCTTCTACAAAACAGATAATTTTGATATCTACCTTATAAGGTTGTTATGAGGATTAAATAAGTTATATGTAAAGTATTTAAAATAGTGCCTGGCACATGTTAAATACTACAAGTATTAACTACTGCTATTATTAACTTGGCTGACTTGTTTCTTCTCTTGGTAATATTCTTGGTTGTATTAATCTATTTCTGCTAGAGAAGTACAGGAGTGTTTGTTCAAATTACGCTATCTCAAAAGAACTATAGTCACACTGCGAAGCCCAGCAAATGTACACGACTTTTATATTGCCAAATAAAAGTAGAAATAATACTGTGTCCTATCCTAAAAAAAAAATAAAACTGGGGGCTGGCCCAGTGGTGTAGTGGTTAAGTTTGTGCACTCCACTTTGGTGGCCCAGGTTCACAGGTTTGGATCCTGGGCACAGACTGATGTACTACTTATCAAGCCATGCTGTGGCAGGTGCCCCACATATAAAGTGGAGGAAGATGGGCACGGATGTTAGCCCAGGGCCAATCTTCCTCAGCAAAAAAAAAAAAAAAGAAAAGAAAAGAAATTAGTAGGCTTGGGAAGCTCAAACAACAGTAGTTCTCAAATTTTAGTTTCTCCAGTAGAGTTTGTTAAAAATTATAAGTTTCCAGGCTCCACTTACAGAGATTTGGGTTCATTAGGTCTGTGAGGGGGTCCAGGAACCTGCAAGTTTATAATAATTGTCCCCAGGTGATGGCCAGGTGAACCATGCTTTGAGCAGCATTGCACTGAAGGGCTTTAAGAAACACAAAGGAATAATTAAGACCCAAGAGTGAGGATTTCAAATGTATCTATGGTCTCTTTCTTAAGACCTGCTTGCTGGATTAAACTCAAAATGAAATATTTCTTGGGCCAAACTGATATTAACGACAAACTGCCTTGCCGAAACTCTGCCACGTTAACAAAATAACTGTTATTTAAACCACAAGCTTCAATTTTGTCACTTTTTTTTAAAAGTTACGCATTAGGGGAGCTCAAGAGAAACTGCTCTGAAAGTGATTTTCTTTGATTTTATTAATGCAGAAACAGCACGTTTTACCTCTTGGCCATCTGTGTCTCAAGTCTTTTTAGTTCGTTTAGGTGTATTGAGTATTGGCTCTACTTTTTCCCGGGGTGTTCACGCTTTTCAAGAATTAATGAAAACTCCATGATACTGAGTCATTAGATTCAATCCTTTCTGCTACAGACTGAAATCCCATATATCTGACTCTGCCGGTGCCTCGTTCAAATTCTGCCAACTGCAGTGGACTACAGGGGATGCGTCAGAAAAGACCCATCTCCTGTAACGCATCCTCATAACACAGCTGATGTAGTTAGCTTTTGGGGGTGTAGGGGGAAGAGGGAGAATCTCCCCCTGCCCTTTCCCTTAAGGTTCTTATGGCTGGCCAAATAATCAACAAGACAGGTTAGCAGGAGAAAATAATACCAAGTTTAATAACATGTATACATGGGAGAAAGCAGGAACACTGTGTTTCTCAACACAATAGCAGAAATTCTCGTCTTAAATACCATGTTCAGCCAATGACAAAGGGGGATTTTGGGGGTTGGGGGAGTCAGTTACAGGAGATTACCACTAAAGCACAGTAAACAAGAGTAAGGTTGATTATGCAGCCCCAAGGCCTCAACTTCCACATTGATAAGTCACTAAAAATGAGCTCATCCCCCTTCTCTTCTCAAAACAGAGAGGGAGATACCTTTACAAATGGAGATTTCCCTTATAAATGCAAATGATTGTCTGGCAACTCCTCGCAGGGTCATCCAGAGAATGTGGCCAGAGAGACAGAACTTCTAATAAGAGGGGCTTGTTGGTGCCTGTCTTATTGTAACATTTACCCTACGTTATCTTTACAGCCATCATGATAGATCTGTTCTAGGAAGGAGCCACCATGTCAAATTCTTTAGGCAGTTAGTGGGGGAGGTCAAATGTCCCTAGAGAAAACAACCAAGGTAAAGAGATAGATTTCAGGGTGGCCAAATCTTGATCTCCCACAGGGGCCTGGGGGTGGGGGATGAAAAGTCATGCTCTGAGAGAAGTGGTCAGTTTTCATGCTATTTTGTGCAAATGAGCTTATGTATCTGCAGGTGCTTTTCTAATTAGACTGGGTGATAGCGAGAATTGATGTAGGCCCTGAGAACTTTCTCTGCAAGCTGGACTGCACCTAGAACACTTTTGTAGGACTAGGGCCTGGGCTTGACTTTTTAGCACTGGAAACTGAGAAAGTGAAGGTTATGCTAAGGTCCACAATCCCTTATCCAAGCCATTTTGGGGCCAAATGTGGCATCCAGACTTCTGGGGAATTGAGAAAGTTAACGCAGTACATATGCTATGTATTATGTAACACTCTCGTTAGGTTCTAAAGCAGCCGCCAATCAAACACATTCATACATTTTTTGCATCAAAATATATGACTACCCACACTGAAGGGTATACAATTATAAATATCCTCACATTAGTTCAGGTCACCTTTTGCCCCCAAATGATTTGGCTGCAAATTTATTATCCCACTGAAGAAATACTGCAAAATTTTATTTGGCCTTTTAGAGTTCACTGTGGAATTCCAAAGACTTGCATTTCTCAACTGAATTTACAAGGGTAATATCTAACTATGCTCTGTACATTTATAACTATACATATATTACATAACTTGTAAACTTTAGCCTCTGTGATGCTAAAATAAAACTAGTATAATGAAAAGTTTAAGGCCATAAAATGAAAGTAATTAGTATAGGTTGTGTCATTGTCGTAGGGACCAGCCACACCCTATTAATGGTTAGAGGATGAAGACTCTAGGAGGCTTATGATGAGAGAAAACAAAATGGAAGTTGAAACAGAAAATAGAAATTGAAAATGAAATTACCAGACTCATTCTCCTGCTAAAGTTTGTGCCAAAAGTTGTGGTTCTTGCACCCAGTGGAATCAGCATTGAATTAGGCAAGGAATTCAGGTTTGCTGGGTCAAGAGGGGTTTGGGGAATCTGAATTTATAATAAGTGCCCCCCAGTGAGTCTAAGTTGGGTCACACTTTGAAAAGCACTGCAGTTTTAAGAAGCACGGTGGAATAATCAAATCAATTAAGAGCAAGGAGTTGAGTCACTGCCCTCTGGAAAAATCTGATAAAAGGGTATAGACCCTCTGCACTATAAAATGTACATACGTATGCACAAACAATTTGCAGCCATTTCAGGGGTTTTTTTTACAGAGTTTCTGGAAATCCACCCAAGGACCATCTGGGTGGACTTCCTGCTTGTAAACCATTTCATCCTGGTGTACAGGAACCTGGTCTATGGGCCCTTCACCCCTGCTCCAGCCACAGCAGCTCTGTGTTTATCTGATTGGTATATGGAGACTCCATATAAGGTGATTTTAATTGGTTCTGTTGCTCATTAAAACAAGTTTGAAGCCCCCTAATTTAGGCATGCTTTTAAGTTCCCACTGAGAACTAAGGTTTCCATGATTTTAAAAACAAAGATTTGGCTTCAAGCTTAGAAACCCATTTTCTGAAAGTCAGAAGCTCTTTGCCCTACTTATTTGTCCATTTAAAAACAAAAACTGAGGAGCTAGCCCAGAGGCGTAGTCGTTAAGTTCTTGTGCTCTCCTTCCGTGGCCCAGGGTTCGCAGGTTCGGATCCCGGGTGTGGACCTACGCACCGCTCATCATGCCATGCTGTGGCGGCATCACATACAAAGTAGAGGAAGATGGGCACAGCTGTTAGCTCAGGGCCAATCTTCCTCACAAAAAAGCCCCAAAAACTGAGCTCCTGTTGTTCTCACCCTCTCCTAGGCACCTGGGATACACAGGTGCCAGACTCATCTCCAGTCTCAGCCCCTGGAGGGTAAGAACTCCAGTGTCCTAATAATTTCCTAGCCTCTAATGGAGTTGCCCCCAGACCTTTGGATTTTATAGGCCTCTGAAATTTCAATGTAAATTTTAGGGGCTGATATAGGATTGCTGATTTCCTACTTTGCCCAGTTAATTCTCCTGACAAATACAAACACCATGTAGGTCTCACTCTCATTTTATAAAATTGACATTTTTCCACTCTCAGAATGGTGGTTCTCAACAAGGCTGAAAATAAGAATCAGTTGGGGAACCTTTAAGAAAAAATGCCTGTGCCTTACTCCAAAACAATTAAATTCGAATATCTGTGGGTTTGACTTTAACATCCATAATTTTTCAAAAGCTTGCAGGGTATCTAATGGGCAACCAGAGATTAGGACCACTTTTTTAGAGCAAAGGATAATTCTTTAAATTGAATACTTCTGGCTACATGGAAAAGAAATTCTACCATATTTCCTCCAGCTGGTAAAAACTTTGCCACTTGGCGTTCATCCGGGGACGTATGCTTGGGAACCTTGCTCCAATTCTTGTTCCACTCAGCTGCCAGAATTATCTTTCGAAAACAGAGCTAATCACATCACTCCATTGCTTATAAACTTGATGTTTCCTCAATACCTGTGGTTGGAGCCTCGACTGCTTGGTATGACGTGCGAGGCCGTCGGTACTCTGTCTGCCAGCCCACCTTTCCTACTGCATCTCCCACCACTTCACCATTTCCTCAATGCAGCTGCTCGGACTATTTGCTGTTCCCCCAAACGCCACACATGTTCCTGCCTCCTGGTCTTTGCTGAGGCCGTTCCCTCTGTAGGGAATGCCCTTCCCACCTCTCTGCCTGCCAGAAATGCTGACGTGATTCTTCCTCTGTGGGACCTCCCTCTTCCCTTCGCCCCTCATCTGTCTCTTCTTCCTGACACAAGACCCCAGATCCACCTCTCATTAGCCCCCAGGATGCACGAATGCCGAGCAACCAGGGATTTACACAGGTATTTTTGTAATTTGTACGAGAGCCTTTTGAAAACATCGTGGGTTAATAAACGAGCAATTTCTGCCCTTCCTCGTTTGATCTCCCAGTTCGCCAGCTTCATCGGGAGTTCCTCAGAGCTGGATCGAACGTCATGCAGACCTTCACCTTTTACGCGAGTGAGGACAAGCTGGAGAACAGGGGAAACTACGTTGCCGAGATGATATCCGTAAGTAGACCCGCACATGGAACCCAGAGGAGCACAGTGGGCGTGCTTGTCATCATCCAAGTTCTCAGAGAGAAAGATGTTGAGCCTCTTCAGAGTTCTGGTTTAAATAATACAGAAATGAGATGTGTGTGAATAACACTTTTGGGTTTTAGCTGGAGTCCCCAAAAGCAACAGAAAGGCATTTAATGAGGCAGATCAAAGAGGAGGTATTTAACGATTAATGATTCTCCCAGTCTCTTGAGTAAGTTGCTGAGTGAGTATCCTTACAAGTTCTTACATCCTTACAGTTTTTTAATGTGGAGCAGCGTAGGGGAAAGGCCAGAGGCTCAAGGAGTCAGCCCCCGTGGAATCTTCCTGACTCAGCTACAATCAACCGTGAATGTTGGACACATAACTTCCCTACCCCCTCAAGGCGGCAATGTCTTCATCTCTAAAATGAAGAGGGAGTTCTAAAATTCCACAAGTCTGTGTGACCTACAGTACTGGGTTTTTTTGAGGACAAGTGTCATTTTTAATGTCTAATTAGAAAAGACCTTACTTATACATTTATCTGTTAATTGAGAAAATACTTAATGATAAAAAGTCATGAATTCTATAGTCATCATAATTGAATTTTATTATTAATAATCATAAAAGCATCATCATCACCACTATTTGCTAGCTATTCTTCTAAGTGCAGCTTCGGCATTAGAAGATACGAGATCCTTTCATGTAAAGAATTTTAGTCTCTCACAGATCTTTGTATAATGTAGTATCCTGGATACTGCCATCAGATTTAGTTTTATCGTCACTATTATCGGTGGTGGTGTTACTGCAAATTGCTCAACTTGGTGAAGCACAGAACTGTTCCGTCACTGTCATTTTCTGAAATAAAATCACTGTTGTAAACATACAACTGAGATGTGGGCATTTGAATAATAATTTTGCTTCAATTTCACATGAAAATGTAGATGTATCATTTATTCGCCCATTTTAGGGGCAGAAAGTCAATGAAGCGGCCTGTGACATTGCCCGGCAAGTGGCTGATGAGGGAGACGCGTTGGTGGCAGGAGGCGTGAGTCAGACGCCCTCGTACCTTAGCTGCAAGAGTGAGACTGAAGTTAAGAAAGTGTTCCAGCAGCAGCTGGAGGTCTTTATGAAGAAGAACGTGGACTTCTTGATCGCAGAGGTAAACAGAGATGTGGTCAAAGATGAGACAAGTACACTTAGTACATTTCCTCTGCCTTTCGCTTTCATGAGGACCATGTGGGGTTAGGTGCCAGTTATGACCAGTAATAGTGATATTTAGGTTTGAAATCTTTTTCCATTTTAGGGCTTCTACTAAATTTAATTCAGTTCATCTAATGTAGTGTTCTTCAAACCTTTTGACTGCAATTCACAGTAAGAAATCACTATTCTATTCTGTTTTAAAAAACGCTAATGGGTCAGAACTCAGAGTTTGAAAATCACTCATCTAGTGATAATTAAATTATTAAGCAACAGAACAAGTTTTCAAATTGTTTGGGGAGAAACAAGATTAAGAGTACCTTAATCTGATCCTATTTAAGTATTTTGAACACGTTGAAGAGGCTGTGTGGGCAGTTGAAGCCTTGAAAGCATCTGGGAAACCAGTGGCAGCGACCATGTGCATCGGCCCAGAGGGGGATTTGCACGGCGTGAGCCCCGGCGAGTGTGCGGTGCGCCTGGTTAAAGCAGGTGAGGACGGATTTTGATTGGTTTGCAATTAGTGAGTCTTTTAAAATGTCATATAGGGGCCAGCACAGTGGTACAAGCAGTTGGGTATGCGCCCTCTGCTGCCGCAGCCCAGGGTTCGCCAGTTCAGATCCCAGGCACGCACCGATGCACTGCTTGGCAAGCCATGCTGTGGTGGCGTCCCATATAAAGTGGAGGAAGATGGGCATGGGTGTTAGCCCAGGGCCAGTCTTCCTCAGCAAAAAAAGAGAAGGATTGGCAGATGTTAGCTCAGGGCCAAAACCATTAATTTACTTTCTTAGGAATATTGATAATAGTATTATTGATTCCCAAAGAGAAAAATGTTAAAAAGAAAAAGAAAATAGACACACATACCAGCCTTTTGAGAGGGGCAACTAGATCTATGCTGGAGATTTAGCACCTAGAAATAAGAAGAATTTTGGTAAATCAAAAAGCATTAGGAAAAATTGTTTTATTTTAAACTTATCTCAAGTTGAGATCTTTAAACATTAATAACTTATAAGTCAGTTACCCTCTTTGCCAAAGATTTTCCATTCTCATAAATTACTGCTATGCTTTGCTTTCTGTAATTGGTATAATAAATCAAAAAAAAGTTTGATATGAAATACTGACCACCTAATTTATCTTTTTATGTAATTTCCATTCCTAATAATGGGTTTCATTTCAATCAGGGAAAACTCACAGACTGTTTTCAAAGCTGCCTCATTTTAAACCCTAGGAACAGCTCAGTGTCGGTGGACGAGTCCGACTCACTCTGTGGAACAGAGAGATTTTGATTGGCTGTTTGTTTAATTTATGATTTTTATCCAACTCCTGATATCTCCTGAAAGTCACTTCATACTTGTCATTAACAATGACAATTATTTAGATTTAGGAATGACATTTTATAATCCTAATTTTTTTATTGGAAATATAAAAATGGAGGGAGAAGCCAGTTAACTTGTTTCAAAAAGGTCAGAGGAGGCCTCGTCATCCCCGTGGCTAATTGGCAAGGGTTCTTGGCCTGCATCTCATCCTTCCCTCGCCATTCTGCTCAGAGCAGGTGCCACAGTGTTTATCACTGTAAACAGTTACATCCTTTGTAGCACTTCCCACGTATCCCATTTGGTCATCTCTTTAGTGTCTCACTCTCTCTGGATTGTAAGATCCAAGAGGGCAGAGACTATGTCTGCTCAGCTCAGCACTGAGTACCCTGTGCACAGTACCTGGCACATCACAGGTCCTTATTAAATATCCATCTAATAAATCTCATCCCTCTCCCAAAGTTAGTTCAAATTCTGCCTCCACGCACGCTTACATAACCATCCCTACCCCAAGTGATCACCCGTCCTCTTGGCAAAATGCTTTCTGTTATACCACTCATTTGGAATATCCTCAGTCGAGGTTTTCCAGTCGGTGAGAATGTTAATAGGGTCTCTATTCAAATAGATGTAGAAAATGCTGTATTAACCCTAGGCAAGCAGGTCTCTTTACTACAGAATTTCTCAGAGCCTTTGCTATGTTTGTGTATATTGGCAGTCTCCAAGAAGGAGATATAGTAAATAGCTACTGCCTAACTTAATGGATCCTAGAACCTTATTTCATAGAGCAAACCTTGGGAAGCCCTGTGCTAAGTTACAAATCCTTGGTGTCAAACTCTGTCCTATGTTTATATTTCTCTATAACCGCTTACAAGGACCTTTATACCTTAGACACCCAATAAATAGCCAACATATGATTAATTCATTAGTGTAATGAAGTCAGACAAGGAAAGAGAAACTCTGGCAGGAAAACATCAAAAAAAAAAAAAAAGATAATCAAGATCCCAATGAAGATGTTAAGTAAGCTATTGAATATACAAGTCTGGAACCTAGTGGAAAGGTCAGGGTTAGAGAGAAATTTGGGCGAGTTCTGGACACAGATGGTATTGAAAGCCCTGGGACTGAAAAGGAAGTGTAGATGAAGAAGAGAAGAGGGCTTGGTGGGATCCTGGACACTGCAGGATTGAAGGTTCAGCCTGGAGGAGGGGTCAGCACGTAACAGCCAGAAAAAGCAGCCAGGGAGGTAGGAGCGGTATGCAGAGTGCGGGAAATTCTCAGAAGTCAAGAGAAGGGGAGTGTTGGTGAAGGAGTGAATGGTCCACTGGGCTGAAGGTGCTGAGATGTTGAGTAAGGTGAGAACAGAGGAGCAACTAGTGAATTTGGCAAGATTGAGGTCATCAGTACCCTTGACAAAAGCTGATTCAGAGGAGTGACAGGAAGTGAGGCCTGATTAGAATAAGAATGAAGAGCAAACTGCAGACCCAGCCCACTGGGGACCACTGAGACGCCTGCCACTGAGACTGGATGCCACGGCTTGTGGCATCAGCTCTGCTGCTCCTGGAATCTGGATTAGTGATGTTATTAAATTGGCCCAATGAAAGGGAACATTGATTTATTCCTCAAACGAGTGGTATGGTAACCACAGGTGCAATCTAGCAGCTGGGAGTGTTGAAAAATTATTGTGCTTGCAATATAACGTCAAAGATTGAAAAATTGACTACTAAACTTTGAAGTTAAAAAAACTCTGATTTTTTTGAAAAAAGATGGACCAGTGTGCATAAATGACACTTCAATATACCAGACTCTGCAAAGCAGTTTTCACAGAAAGCGCTTGCTGCCTGTTAGTAATCATTCTTGCCAAACCATAAGATAGGTTTGCAGGGAGCAAGGACCAAATGCTGTACTTCCAACTCACCGTTCCAATAAAAGCTCCCTGATTGAGAGAGGAGAGTTGGGCCTTCTGGTATCTGGTGACTCCCTAAAGCTAAAATGTTCTTCCCACTTGCAGGGGCGTCCATCGTTGGTGTGAACTGCCATTTTGACCCCACAATTAGTTTACAAACCGTGAAGCTCATGAAAGAAGGCTTGGCGGCTGCCCGGTTGAAAGCCCACCTGATGAGCCAGCCCTTGGCCTACCACACCCCTGACTGCAGCAAACAGGGGTTTATCGATCTGCCAGAATTCCCCTTTGGTAAGATGGACATTTTATAAACCGTCTCAATGTCTTATGTTTGACAAATTCCAAATAAATCTGTAGCCACAGAGCTTTGTCATAGTAAAGAAATGGCTGCCTATCTCCTCATCTGTCACCCCCAGCTTCTCTCCCTGCAGCCCCAAACCCCTTGATACTAGACAGTGGTAGTAGGAAGAGATGGGACCAGCAAGCAAAAAAGACCTCTGAACTTTCGTGTAAAATCAAAGGTGACTCAACACCTAGAGAGACAACCAATTCATCATACTTGTAGGTTGGTAAAAAGGATGCCCTTCTGGGTGGGATCAGTGAAGATTTGGGTTCTGGTTCCAGCTCTGTTGCTGAGTTGTGTAACCTTAGCAGAATTCTTTAGTTATTCTAGATCTTATTTTCCTCATTAGAAAAATATGGCGTTTAGACCAGGTTATCTCCAAGATACTTTTCTCCTGTTATGAATGTTGCTCAGCTACTCTAGAGTTTCAGGGACAGGGGAAGATACTGGATTACTGTATAACAAATCTGAATAAAGATGAAGGGAGGGAATATTTACAGTCTACAAGGAGGGATAAAGCATGTTTGGGACGTGGGGGTGAGTCTACCCTGAAAATCAAGCCAGAGCATGGGCAGCCTCCTATTCCATTCTAAGGTCCTTATACCATATCCTGTGTTCTATAGGGACCTTCAGAGAAGTAAAACATTATCAAATAATCAGTCTAGAAGAACCATGGAAGAAGAGTGGGAAGGCATTTGTGTGATTTATTACTCTAGAACAAATTATTGCAAAACTTTGTGTCTTTAAACAACAAACATTTATTATATCTCATAGTTGCTGTGGGTCATGAATTCAGGAGCAACTTGGCCAGTAGTTTTTGCTCAGGATCTCTTAAGAGGTTGCAGTCTAGACATTGGCCAGGGCTGCAGTCATCTGAAGGCCGGATGGGAGCTGGAGACCTACCTTCAGGCTCCTTTAGTTGGCTGTGGGAGTCAGTGTCAGCTTCTTGCTGTCTGTTGACTGGAGGCCTCAGTTCCTGAGCTCATGGGCCTCTCCACTGTGATGTTTGAGTGTTCTCACAACACGGCCACTGGCCTCCCCCAGGGTGAGTGTTCTGAGAGAGATCAAGGCAGAAACCATAATGTCATCTATAAACTAGCCTCCGAAGTCAGAGACCATCCCTTCTGCCACATTCTATTGGTCCTGCAGACCGACCTGGTATAATGCGGGACGGGACTACACAAGGGCAAGACATCAGAGGACAAGGATCATTAGGAGCCATCTTGAAGTCTGGCTACCCCAGCATTTAAAACTGGATATATAGGGGCTGGCCCGGTGGTGTGTGGTTAAGTGCACGTGCTCTGCTGCAGCAGCCTGGGGTTTGGATCCCGGGCGCGCACTGACGCACTGCTTGTCAAGCCACGCTGTGGCGGTGTCACATATACAGTAGAGGAAGATGGGCATGGATGTTAGCTCAGGGCCAGTCTTCCTCAGTAAAAAGAGGATGATTGGCGACAGATGTTAGCTCAAGGCTAATCTTCCTCACAAAAAACAAAAAAACCCAAAAACTGGATATATAAACACAAAGCAGCTAATAGTTTCAAAAAGTTAAGAAATGGATATTGACAACTTATTTATTTATTGACAGTTATGTACTTTTCATAGCTGTTTATTTTGAATATTTGTTTTTAAAGAATTGGGGCATAATGCCATTTATTACAGGACTGGAGCCCAGAGTCACAACCAGATGGGATATTCAAAAATATGCCAGAGAGGCCTACAACCTTGGGATCAGGTACATTGGCGGGTGCTGTGGATTTGAGCCCTACCATATCAGGGCGATCGCAGAGGAGCTGGCCCCAGAAAGGGGCTTTTTGCCGCCAGCTTCAGAAAAACATGGCAGCTGGGGAAGCGGTTTGGACATGCACACCAAACCCTGGATTAGAGCCAGGTAAGAACCTTTAAACTGTATTTGCCAAACCAAACTCATTCAGATTGTGAATATGTCCAAGTGAGGTCATTACAAAGAGTGCAGCTAATTTGCTGTGTGATGATAAAGAATCAGTTATTCTCAAATTATCCCACAGAGATGTTTATGAAATAACCTTATGGAGTGATTTTTGGAGAAGGCTTTCAGAATATATAAATAATGTAAGCTGCAATGAAACGTGATTTCATGCTCTAGGAAAGCACCATCCATTGGGGGACACTAACATTGAATCAATTGATTAAGATTTAAGTGTACAAATATTAATTAAGTGTCTGTGTGCCAAGCATGATTCTTGGAGCTGGGAATACAGTGGTGAATAAGACAGAAAAGGTCTTTGCCCTCAGAGTTTACATCCCGGGGGGGATGAACAGTAAACAAACAGATTCTACGTCAGGCAAGGTGCAGGCCATCAGGATTATAGAAATGAAAAGCGGTGGTCCTGGCTGAGAGACTCTCACAGTCTGCTGGGGAAAATGGTGAAGAAAGCCACCTTGTTATGCTGTGGTAACGGCTTTACTAGAGGCACGGATAAAAAAGTAACAACGAAGAGAAAAGAATGAGTATCTTCTTGATAGAAAGGTATTTTAGAAGAAGGGGTTTTTGGCTTCATTTTGAGGGGCTCAGTCGGCTCCCACGAGACAGAGCAGAGGGTGGAGGGAGCACTTCCGCTCTGTTCAGACGACATTAACTGAGCACAACTATGTCAGACACTGCTGTGGACGCTGAGGTAGCAAGCTGGACACGGCACAGCCCTGCCACCAAGGAGTGAACAGTCTAGTCGGCAGAGAGAAACAGGTAAGTCTCAGTTGGTATAGTAAGTTCAAGGTTGAAGATTGCACAGGTGCTGTGGGTTCTGAGCTAATGGCCCAGGGGCAAAAGGCAGAAGGAGGTAAATGAAGGATTCATTCCTAAGAGAGCTGATGCCCCAGCTGAATTTTGAAGGATGAACTGCTTTGCCAGACAATGGAACAGCCTACAGGCAAGCTCTGAGAGGTGGGAAAAGAATGGGGTATTGAGAAACTAGATGTTCGAGAATACTGGAGACAGAATTTGATAAAAGACACACCCCAGGAACAGGAGGCCGCCTTTGATTGAGCTCATGAGCTATATCTGACCTCATCCCAAAGGCAGTGCAGAGCGGGGAGGGCCTCAAGTAAGTTAGCTAGTTTTAACAGCCTTGAGATGGGGAAACCTGTGAGGAACCTTTATGGAGCAGATACCAGACGTGGTGAGGCCTGAACTAGAAGGAGACAATGGAAATAGAAAGGAGAAGCATGCAGGATCCGCAAAGTCAGGGGGCAGAAGTAATACTGGGTTTTGGGAACAGCAGCAAATGTGAGCTCAGCTGGCTCATGAGGGCGAGTGCCCGAAAGTGAGGAGGGGGAGGTAGGATAAATTGGATAGAAAATGTCCCTGTTGTAAATTCTTAGCTTTTGATTTCTATGCATGTATTAAAAGAAGAAATTCAAACTAATTTTAGAACCTATAGAGTCTAAAAAAAAAAAAAAAAAGTTTTAGTCCAGATTAATGTGTTTTAACAGACTTACTCTCAAGCATCCAAAGACAGCTCTGTGGAGGTGTTCTCGCTCAGTGACAGAGACCACACTCGAGGAGGAGTCTAATGTTGTGTGTTTTGTTCCCCCAGGGCCAGGAAGGAATACTGGGAGAATCTTCCGATAGCCTCAGGCAGGCCATACAACCCTTCCATGTCAAAGCCAGATGCCTGGGGCGTGACCAAGGGGACAGCCGAGCTCATGCAGCAGAAAGAAGCCACCACCGAGCAGCAGCTCCGAGAGCTCTTTGAGAAACAGAAATTCAAGTCTACACAGTAGCTTCAGTGGAACCCATTTTTGGCGACTTCCTCTGTGTTTGGGCCACAGTTCCTAGAAATAAGGAAAAGATAGTGAAAAAGCAATGCTTGTGCTAACACCAGCCTACACATAAAACTGGTACTAGCTAAACAAAATAGAATTACAGATAGCACTTGATAATTTTAAAAGTATGTTTTAGAAGTTTACTTAAAAGCAAAATAAGTAGGAAGTAAACCTTAAACAGGTTTACTAAGCACGCACCGTGTATAAGGTATTAAGGGAATCACTGTGGCCAAGGAAAAGTAATTTGGATGTTAATCCCGCTTCAAGAAGTTCGCAGGCTAGTAAGGAGGATGAGACGTCAGCTGTCATAAGTGGCTCAGCAACCAGGCAGGGACAGATAAAGCGCTAGAGGGAAGTGACTTCCAGGCTCTTTTGAACATGACCCTCAGCAAGAAACACAATTTATATAATGACCCAGTAAAACATATAACATACAACCATTGAAATCAAATGTGTGATCCATTCTGGTATTTTCTATTCCATTCCTTTCTATCCATTATTTCATTAATAAAACATGCCGGTTGAGACCCTTTGAACTGACTTTATGACCCATTGATGTGTTTTGACCCTAGTTTGAAAAACACTGATATGGGACACTTCAGATATGGGGACTTGGGTATTTCTTTAAATTTATTCTTAGACGATCAGCCATATGGGACCTGATGGATAAGTATCCAAAGCCCAGAGTCCTGCTCTCAGAGTTCCAGACGTGTTCTCTCTCCTTGCTGACCCATTTCTACCGCTAAGAAACGCACAGACCAGTGGGGACCGGCAAGAAGGGAAGGGTATCAAGGCCTTCTCCATCCTGCTCAAAACTAGATCCACCCAAATGCCTCCAGTGGGTAAGGCTGAGGAGGAGGGAGCTTGTGTTACTTTAGAAGCTTAAAAATAGTATAATAAAGAAAAATTAGAGATTCTCCAAACTCTATCCAGGTTTCTTAGATTGAGAACTATGATATTTTTACCTAACGTCTACTCTCCTATGAGAGCTGAAGGCTGAAGATGCAAGACCATTAGAATAAACATGGCTAGCTACTCTGAATGTACTAGAAAAGAGTTCATGCTGCTTTCTAAACATCCTTGGATTGATTTAGCTGATTTGAAACTGTAATTTTTTCGGCTATTAAAAAAGAAGAGCAATAAGACTATCTTGGTTGTTTTTGATTCTTAATTTCGTTCCATAATTAGCCAAGTCCTATATGAAATCTCTATACCTCAGTTTACCCATCTATGAAAAAAATACTACCTTCCTACTTCACAAATATGCTGGAGTTTTAAAAGAGGAAGTAGTAGTATTTAAAGGAAAAAGAAATTTCCAGAATTTTTTTTACTAAGAGAATTAGTAATCTACCCCTCATACTCCAATGCACAGAAATAGACAAAGCAGCACCTTTCTCAGAGGCTGCCGATGGCGGCGGTGAAATAGGAGAGTGAACTCCACTTTTTTTTTTTTTTTTTTTTTTACAAAGTTGCTGTGTACCATTTCACTCTCAAATCTGGTTCAATATTTAATATTCATAGATGATAGAAACTTCTATCGCACTTACTGTTCTATTACTGTGTAAGATGCATGCCCCTTTAATATTCTTTTCAGAACATTATTGCCACACAAAACATTGTAACCTCTAATCATTCTTGTATCCTTTGATTTAAAAAATATTTCCCTCAAGAGAAAATATATTGAAGACTTGCTTGAATGAAACTATATGTCAACACTGCCTCCTAGTGGCATATTTCATATTTTGAAAATTTTTTTTGAAATTTCAGCCCCTCCACCAAGCACATTTATTTTTATTTCCAGAAATCTTGTTCATTAAAAGGGGAGTCTCATTTAATACTTAACAGTTTTGTTAATGTTACATAGACATTTCTCACTGGTAAAGATATTTTTATGGAATTAGAGCCAGAAGGTCCTTCGAGATCAAGAGTCCAAACTCTCCCTTTTAAGGTTAAGATTACTAAGGCAGGGTGCCAGGTCAGCAAGGACCTCCCGCTAGTCCGAGGCTGCCGGGAAAGACGGCTTCAGCTTGGATTCTTGGTAGAAGGAGAGTGGAGCCAGAACAGACACTTCACAAAAACAAGGAATTCATCTCTGGCCAGGAAATAAAGATCCTTGCGTTGCTCGGAGTCAATGTAAACTCACTGAATAAACTATTTGCAGTTTATGGCCTGACCTTTCTCTACACTGTAGCAAAGCATCTTTGGGTAAGGGAGTCATGCCAACGCAGGCCCACGATGGAGACAGAACTGGGCAGGGAGGGAGCAAAAGCTTCAGTTCCCAACTTTTCCAGAGGGGGGCAGCAGGTCACCAGCCAGGAATGCTCTAGACGCTCTTTTGCTTGCAACTTAAGCTATTTCATCAGAATAAACTAACACTGAATGGCAGAAATATTTGCAGCCCTCTTTTCTAAGTGTTTTCCTAAGATACATGGATCTTTGAATCACATCTAGGACAACTCACCCAGCAAAGTAAGCCTTAGATGTCTCCAACTAGATCCCCATTCTTCCCACAGGTCTTCATTTTTTCCCAGCTGCAGAGTACATTGGTTGTCTGAGAGCATTACACAGACTGTTTTTCCAAATAGCCTCCCTGTTAGTAACTTCCGGTTGGCCCGTCTGGAACCTTCCATGTGTTACCTGCTAGGTAGACAGCCCTGATTAAATAAAGGAGGAAGAAGTCTATTTGAAGAGAGAAAAACAGAGGAGCCCTAGAACAGCTTCAGGAGTCTGTCGGACAGTGTGTTGAACCGAGTTACAGATAACAAGGTCCAATATTTCTAAACATCTTCAGGAACAAAAGAATGTTTGGTGTTTGACCAGAAAACGACTGAAAGGCAGCCAAATACAAACACTCCTCACAGATGGTGACAGGAAGGGCAAGGTCATCTGGCAAAAATTAGTGGGAGTGTGGTGAGGGAAAGGAATCCCCAGAAAATGCTTCCAGTTTTCAAGCAGCTGGAGGCATTCTGTTGGCCTTGGGTAGATGAAAAGTCAAGAGAATGGAGAGAGAGACAGATGTCATCGCTTGTGCTGCTGTGAGCTACAGAAATAACGCCCGACCGCTCGAGCACAGCAAAACAGAACAGGTTAATTTACATGCCACTCAATCAAACCCACGATAATTTTAGCACATGGTTTGACTGACATATTTGTGAAGTTCCTTATGTAAATTTTTACATTAAGTGAGTTTTCAAGGGAAACATTTAGCTTACTTTGAACTAAAACTTATTTCCCCAAATGCCTAAAATATTTTTAGCAGTCATCACTTATATGCAAACTGTTAATGTACCATTTATAAATTATTTCCTATTTGTTCCCTCAAGCAGGTTCAGTGAGACCTCTCCATGGCCCCATTTTGTGGTTATTTGTTCCAATTTACTACCTGGCCTTGAAAGGAAAAAGCTGAATATCTTTAAAATATTTCAAACTCTTCCCTCAATTCAACCCGGCCATTCTTCCAATTATTTTGACTTAATGATATTTTACTGTTCTTTGGAAAGGTTAATGTCTCAACATATGAATAGGCTTAGTGGAATTCAGCCATTTTCCAAAAATACTAGTGCAATGTACTAGAAAAAGCAATAAATAAATTTAGAATCAGGAATTTGGGGTGCAAGTCCTCGCTTGGCTCCTACCTCACTGAGCAACGTTGGGTGAATCACCTCGCTTCTCTGACCTTCAATTCTCTCATCTGTAAGATGACAAATCTCAAATACCTTGCTAACAAAGCTCCATACGTTTATGTTTCTAACTTGATGGTATAGATAAGCAATAGCCTCATCATTGTCAACAATGTACTAAATGCCACTTGATGGTGTGTTTCCAGCAGACTAATTGTTATTTAATTATTCCCTCGGCTAAACAGATGGCAGACTAACACAACACTGTTCAGAGGGCAGGGAAAATGCTATTAGCCCAGACTCAGCCTGGCACTGGGAAATGAAACTGTCTTTCCTCCCCACAGGTACTATTTCCTTGGGGGGTTCAGGTCTGGGGTATTTCTTATGATGAGCTGTTTCTATTTTCAGGACTCAGTTCTTTGTAGGTTTGCATAAGCTATGGAAATTCTAGAAACCGTCAAGTGGGTAATTTTTGTTTCGAGTTCTTCATCTACCTAGGAAGGGAAAGAACGGTCTTCTCACACTTGATAATAGGGTGATGGAGTTTGGGACCTAGAAGCCTCAGAACTTCTTCCTTCCATAAAGCCATTCTCAGAAGCTTGATGACTCCCAGATTTTTATCTCCAGCCTGGACCACTCCCAAAAACATGCACTTGACATCGGTCTAACCTTTAGACCCAAACCAGTCCCTGCCCTGGGCCCTGGGCCCCAGGCCCTGCGCCCCTTCCCCTGGCTGTCCAGGCAGAGTGCCCCATGTCTGGACCTGGTCCTGCATGGGTTCTGGTCACCAAAGATGCCGTCCTCAAAATTTTCTAAGTCCCTCTCTAGTGGCTAGGACTAGTCAGGGCCAGCTGTGCCATCCGGGAGGGGTGCCCTGAGCCTGGACAGGTTGGCATGGGACCCAGTCCTGGTTTCTTCCCATCTGGGTGCTCAGTGACCCTCTACACCCCCTTCCTATATGTTTCCTCACTTCCACCCCATTCCTGGAGTCGACCAAGTGCTCAGAGGGGCCCTGGGACTCTTGTTTCCCTGGTTCCAGGAGGGGTACCTGGTGAGAGGATGGCTCCCACTGGCAGGTGCACTGTTTCTGTCCCGGAATCGCGTGAGATTGGGCTGCCCAGGAGAGTGCTGTCACTCTGATTTTGTATGACTCATGTCAGACACAGGACAAGTTCTGGGCGCTGGGCCATGGAAGGTCCACTGCCAGCCCTTGCCTTGAGTGGTCTATGGGGGCCCCGCATTGGCTCTCCCTTGTGGGGCTTCCGACCTCAGTGCTGCCCGCAGTCCACAGCTGGAGGGCAGCAGATGACAACAGGTGTTCTTCCCCCCGTGCATCCTTCCCCAGACACTGCCACTCCCTATACCCCACCAACACTGCCACCCAGTGGTCGCCCCACCCTCTACAGGCTCTGCCACACGTCAGGCCCCCTCTGGGGTAGCCATGCCTCATCCTCTGCGGGTTTTTCAGACATTGCTCCACAATGTCAACAGGTTATTCCCATCAATGTCCACCAATGGATATGGTGCTGTCCTGGTCTCCCAGGCTGGGATGAAGTCATGCCAGATGAGGGATGGACATTCCTTGAGTGAATGGAGGAACTTTTCTTCTAGCATTGCCTGCTGATGGAGCCATGTGGAAAGCAGGAGCACAGTCAACATTGAAAGAGACCACATTTGAGGAAGGCACTCTTTATGGCCTATTGACATGGTTGGAAGATGGGTATTCCTCTGCATTTACACTATAAAATCCCCAACAGTAAATTTATCAGAAATTCATCATAAAATGAATTATCATTCACATGTTGCCATATATACTGCTTAAGAAGTCCACTTATGGCCAACACCCTCAG